AGCAGTTAAGTTGATATGTAAATGTTTAAGTGATTGATATGTTGTAAATATATTGATGAAATGTAAATAATTTCTGTGTTGATATGAATCAAAATTTACATGGAAACAAAAATACTGATAAAGATTTTTTTCATTTGTATTAAAAAGTAATGCTCCTATCACAGTTATTGCAAAAAATTGAAACAATTTTGTAACAATTGTATTGAAATAATTAGAATAAATTTGTATTGCAAAAAATCTGTACTACAACGATTGGTTCATCAATGATTTAAACTGTTTTAAAATGTTAAACTAATCCTTCGTACTTTTAATCATTTTTGTTTCCAAGCGATTGCAATAAGTTTACTTTATGTGTTTTATGATCGTAAAATGTTTTATAGGAATTTTTTGCATCAAATATTCCGGTCAAATAATAAGACATGCTTTGGTCAATACTTTTATACAAATGATTTTATAATCCCGTTTATTTAAGTACCGAATTATTTACCTTTTATTTAAGTACTGTGTTTTTTATCGATCTTTCGTTTAAATAAAGTATTCAATTGTTCGCTTATCTTTTGTTTAAGTATTGAACTATTTACTTACTTTTTGTTTGAGTAGCGTTGAGTTGTTTACTTATCTTTTATTTAAGTGCTCAATTGCTTATTTACATGAAATGCTCACCGAATACAATATATATAGTATATCTTATTGCTAAAAAGAGTTCAGTTTCATTATCCATTAGGCTCAACAGTGACTTTTTCACTATTCAATTCATCCTACTGCTTTAATTATCAGTAATGAGAAAACAGTTATCAATAATCAGGGAGAATCTTTATTTATCGATATTATAATTATCATATAATATTGTCAATAATCTACAGCGAATAAAACTTTCACAACAATCTTTGCTTATGAAACAGACTATTAAAATTAAAAACTTTTCCCAATACCAGTAATATTAAAATAATTTGAATTTTACATTTTTTCATGTCAATGATGAAAACAATTTGAACATAAAGTATTAATTCTATTTTCTTAACTTTCGAACAAACTAACGAACCTTCTTCATTAGTTCAAACTCTTCCTCCAGTACACAAACACGAAAAACTCTTGGAATATTATCATCTGATGGTCTTCCAAAGATAATATCATTTGTTATTGGAAATAAATCGATTGCACGTCTCATTGCTACAAATTGAAATTTATATTTAACAATAACTGCTAAAATATTAAACTTTTTTTAGTAAAGAATTTATCAATTAATTTGGAAAAAAGTATAAAGATTAGCAAATATTTATCAATTCAAAAATTACTCATAGAAAATATTTCATTTAATTTGAAATTATTTAAAATTCTTCCTGCATTATTTGTGAATTTGACTAGTTTAATATTGCAGTGATAATATAACGATGGTAAAATTGGTATTAGTTATGAATTATTGAAAAATATATACATTTATGCTAACCTGAAATACTTCTCCAAAATGTTCCTCTCCAAATTAATCTCATGATTAATTTATCAGTGAATAAGATTAACTTTCCATTCTTCATCATATAATTCAATATGTCGGAATATGAAAAGCAACGTTTACGACGTGTTACGTAAAGTGGATATGGTTGTTCACACCAACGACATTTCATGCGATGATTATATGAAATGATTGTTGGAAGAAATGCACGCTGCAGTTCTACTTGCATTTTATGAGCTAATTGATTCGCTTCGGCATTTCGTGGTATTAATTGATTAATTTCAAATACTTCAAATGTACCACCTACTTTTTCCAATTTTAATGTTCCACCTTAAAAATGTTGTCATTAGAAATATGATAAAATATGTTATTACTCGCTATATGCAATATTGGTAAAATATCTCACCATAGTAATATTCAAGTAATTTTGCCGATTAAACTTATTGAATTCATTATCAACCGAAATTTTTGGTATTTATTTTTCCTGTTTGTTTCATCAAAAAAAAAAAAAGCTCTATGACTGATATTCAATCAAAATGATATGAACTTACTAAATGGATCGTGCAATCCCTGAGGATCGGTAGTACTGTGTACCGTATAACACGTATCATTGCCAAAATTTCGAGCAGTACCACCGGGATAATATTCATGGCCACGAATTAAAGTTTTAACATTTAGCGCATCAAGAACAATATTTAAAGCATTCTGATTGAATGAATAACCGCAATTTCGCTGACTTAAAGCAAACCATCTAAAAATTTACAACATATATTAAATCTTTAATTAGTATCATTGATTCATTGGATGTCAGGTAAAATTTGTTAAAAAGAAGGAAAGAAAAAAAATTTTTTTTTTAAATTTAAACTATTTTGCATACTTTCGTTGTTCAGGAATTGGATCGGCCCAAAGAAGATCGGCAAGAATTACACCTTCAACAAAATGCATATCGCTAGTATAAGTTGGTTTTGGAATATTTTGTAAATTGCTTCGACATGTCATCCATTGTGAAATTCCGCCATGACAAACAAAGAAATGATCTAAAGAATTAAAGAAATCACTAACATTACCAATTGATCGGCTAGAATTTTGCTCATAAACATTTGTTATAAAGCACAAATAAATAGTTAATACTGTTAAAATTAAATTGACATTTCCCGAATTACTTTTGTTTCATGTGTTATATCAGTAAAATTAGGAGAAAAAGCGGATATATTTCCATCATCCATCAAAATTTACAAATATTATCTGCCATTAAGTTACTTTCATACGTTTGAATTCTGATGAAGTTAGCTGGGGCAAGCTATTTTTAAACTAACTTGAAATAATTGCACAAACGGGCATATGATCAAATACATGATTAATGAGTGTAAACCACCGATGACCTTGTTTAAACATGCGTAAGCACTAGAAGAAATTTGTTGCAATTATGAAAGATACAAATTATTGATTGAATTTGATAACAATAATGTAGATTGGCGAAAAATTTCAATTGAAGGATTAATTTCTTCATTATTTGGTTTTAAATTTTGCAAATTTCACTAACTTCATTATAAAAGTCATATTCTTTGCCGCATTGATAATCTTCATGATTGCCTTTTAGTGTTGTGATATAATTTGGCCATCGTAATTTCATTAAAAATATAAATAATATTAGCTGTACTTGATATAATCCACGGTCAACATAATCACCTGAAATTTCCTAAAAATTTATATATTTTAAAAGTTAGTGCTACATTACAAAAAATAAAATAGCATTTTTGAGATCAAATTTAACACAACGACACGTAATTTTTACATAATTTGATGGATGAAATTTTGCGTCAAATTTAAATATCACAAAAAACGGAAGATTGAAAATTGTACAAACCTAAAAATAGATATTTTGTATTTGGTGGAAAACCGTTTTTGGATAATATATTTAATAAACAATAAAGGTCACCGTGTAAATCACCAACAACCACTAATCCACTTTTAGACAAATTGAATTGCAGCATTATCGGCTCTTCAGCATATATATCTTGCACATTATGCAAAATCTTAAACTTTTTCAAATCCAAAAAATCGTGGAAATTAGCGCAAAAAAAAAACGATGATTACATTTAGAAAATTATTTTGTTATTTTTTTAATTAAATTTTTTTTTTAGGATGAAAAATTATTATGTAACAGCAATGGTTATATAAAAATAGCAAACAAAAAATTATTTGGTTAATTAATTTATTAAGTTATTTCATAATGCTGCAAACTTGTTAAAACTTTTATTAACAGTATTGTAGTTTAAAATGAAATCATGAAATCTTAACATACCGTAATTAGATCATCATCATTGAATGTCGGAAATAATGTACTATTAGTTTCCACTACTTTCATTAAATTGCACATGTATTTTTCAATAATTTCTTGTGTCAACTTATAGCATACCATTTTTTTTTTGCTACAAATTATTTGTTATTTTTTAAAATTAAAGAAAAAATGGAAAATTATAAATGTAACAACGATAATTATATGCCGGAAAGAATTGATATACTTTAATCAAGCTAAAGTATTTTCGTCACAAATAATCAATTTTTTTTTTCTTTTCAAATTACAAATGGAGTAATTGTTATATTTTAAATATTATCCATCCAATTTTTATTTATTCTATTCCATCATTTTTTTTTGTGAATAAATTAACGATGACGAAGAGGGTACCTGTTTTGTTACTGATATGAAATTAATTTTAGGATTTTTGAATGTTTTTAAAAATTGTCAAAGCATAGCAGATTAAGCAGGAATATGTGTATTTAAATTTAGAGCAATTTTTGTAATATCACAAAGAATGTGAAACGCTCGAGAAAAAATCGCAGATTGCTTTTCTTGCAATAAGCATTTTCTCGAGCGTTTAACATTTGAGAGAGCAAAAATTATTGATTTAATATTTACGGTTATGATCCATTGCCATGGTGTAAAAATTTTTTTAGCTAAGATTTAATTTTCAACCAGCTAAATTCAATATTTTCATCCCGTCATAATGCTTTAAGATAAGTGAATATATTAAAGTTTAAAAAAGCTGGTGATCGGGATTGTGAAATTTTATTGAATTTATTACTGTAATAATATTTAATTCTCTTCTATAATCAAATAATTGAGGATTTTAATCATCAAACTTTTAATCATGATATGTTTCATACAACAGGGACATTCCTGTCAGACATACCTCATTCAATGGATTGCATGCGAAATTACGAATTTTCAGATACAGCCGCTCAGAACTGAAAAATTTAGTAAATTTTTTAGAAAATAAAAAATTTTGGATTTTTATGACAATTTTTATGAGTTTCAAAAAATTTTTTTTAACAAAAATTTTCACATTTCGCTAACCGCAATATAACAAAATTCAGAATTAT